GGGGTTTTCCCTACGATACACTCCGGGTCCCTTCCCAGGACACACAAGCCCTCCCGGAGCGGCCAGTCCTCACCCTGGCGTATTTGTGTGCACTCTGAACTTCACTTTGTGGAGTGTGCCACCCCACCTCCGAGCCCCGCCACTCGCTGTGTCTCTCTTCCTCAGCCGCCCCCTCCCCACCCTCATCTTCTCAGTTCACTTTCTCCGGAAACCGTTTCCAGACCCCTGTCCCTACAACACTGGGTTTGGAGCCTCTCTCATGTGCTCCCTGGCACCCTGTCCTAGCTTAGCGTGTACCAGGCAATAGTTTTTTAAATTGTTGTAAAACATACATGACATAAAATTTATATTTAATCTTTTTTAAGCGTATAGATCAGTGGCATTAGCACATCCACACTTTGTGCAACCGTCACCATCATCCATCTCCAGAACGTTTTCATCTTCCCAAACTGAAAGTCTGCACGCATTAAACACTGACTTCATTTCCTTCCTCCCAGCCCCTGGCAACCACCATTCTACTTTTTGTGCCCATGGATTTGACTACTTTAGATAACTCGTATCAATGAAATCAGACAGTATTTGTCTTTTTGTGTCTGGCTCATTCCACTTAGCGCAGTGTGCTCAAGTGTGCTCATCTAGAGCACACTTCCAGAGCACATCGGAGCACTTCCAGTGCTCACCCAGAGCACACTGTCAGAATTCTCTTCCTTTCTAAGGCTGGATGGTATTCCATTGTGTGTGCCACATTTTGTTTGTCCATTCGTCTGTTGATGGATATTTGGTTTGTTTCAACCTTTTGACTATCATGAATAATTGTGCTGTGAACATAAGAGTATAAATAATCTGTTCAAGTCTTGTTTTCAGTTATTTTGGGTAAATATCCAGAAGTGAATTACTGGATCAGATGTCAGTTCTATTTTTAACTTTTTGAAGAACCACCGTTCTGTTTCCACAGTGGCCGCTCTACTTAACATTCCCACCAGCAGTGCACAGGGGACCCAGTTTCTCCACACCCTTGCCAACGCTTGTTGTTTTCCGTTTTTTTGACAGTAACCATTTTGATGGATATGAAGTGGTGTCTCCTTGTGGTTTTGATTTGAGTGAGCAATATTGTTGCTTTTTCAGTGATTTGTGAATGGACAGCCACTCGGGCCTGGGCACGGTCCTTCCGGGGCTGAACAGGGCCTGATTTTTTTTTCACCTGTTTTCCTGGTATTGCCATTTGCTTTCAGCCATGCTCGCATATAGCTGTCTCCTGGCCCTCCCACCCCGTGGTCTATGAGACAGCACACCACAGAGAGCCACTGTCCCAGAGAGAGGCATGGCTCAGCCACACACACTTGCCAGTGACTACTACACCCACAGTCTTAGGGAACTCAGACTTCATTTGTACTTCATTTCTTTGTACAAAATGTACCTGAAATGTATCTGAATGTTTGGAAAGAAATACTCATTTGAAAACTTAGCAGCAGCCCTTCAATTTATTGACTCAAAGTATATGTTGGCTCTTTAGAAACGCATCCATTTGGTCAAAGTTGGCACAGGGAAGCTGTCAGAGAAATACACGTGCAGATTTGTTCAAGTGACACAGCTGTGTGGGGTCAGCTGGCCACGCTGGGTCAGGTGGGTTGGCATAAGTGCCTGCACACTTCCTGGGCCAGGCAGCCAGCTCAGCCCTCACTCCTGAACATGCCCATTTGGTCTTGAGAAGTGAACAGGGCCGTGGGACCTGCCGATCGCTCATTCTAAAGATCAGCGTTGGCTGTGATGTGGAAACGCGCATCCACCTGGGGCAGCAGGTGCTGAGGGCAGCCAGTGATCAGCGAGCCAAGCACTCTGCCTGCCTGGCCCAACTGCAGCCTCTCACCTGCTGCTGAGCTTGGCCCCTCCCTAGAATCCTCTGAAATCTTTCAAAGTCAAGGTTACCAACACAGGGAGCCATGGATTCAGGACTAGAACCTGGTCCCAGCCCTTCCAACATCTGTTGGCCTTGCCTGCTCACGGCCACCCAGACCTCCCCCAAGGACCCACTTGAGTCTGCCAGCACCACACCCATTTCTGGGTGTTGAACATGGGTCAGTGCTGATACAAGGATTCCTGAGTGGGGTGGTGGGAGGGCCAGGCAGCCCCGGTGGTCTCTTTCTCAGCAGGAACATTTCACAGTTCTGTGCTTTCAGATTAAAGTGACTGTCCTGAGACTGGGACCCAGGCAGCATTACTGAGCCACACCACCTTCCTTTAAGAGGGCTTGCACAGCCTCCAGGGCTGCCGGCAGCCTGGCAGAGTCCGACTTCTCATTCTCGGGCCTCTTTTTGAACCCTGCCTTCTTGCTCATTAATGACCCATAGGGGATCTCCCTATCTAGCCACCTTAGGGTCTCTGCCCCAAGGGAAACTGAGGCTCAGAGAGGTTTATAAACTTGCTTAAGATCACACTGCTACCTAGGGATAAAACCAATTTCTTGACTCCCTATACTGTGTTAATTTCATCTTATTGTCCCAGATTTTAGTAAAACTCCAGGCAACCAGCCCCCTTCCAGGACACCTCCACCTGGGAGGAGGTAGGTGTCAGGTCCCAGCCACCTCCAGGGGTCAGAGAGCTTGTTTGTTCGAATGTGGCTAGGTGTGGAGGAATTCCCCCCAAGCCTTGCTCCTCCGTCGCTGCAAAATGTGTCTTCCGTCTTTGGAAAGTTGCCGTCAGACTGGACTTCAGTTCGGACTTTGAGTCAGACACATGCGGATTTGAATTCCAGCTCTGCCCCTAAGCAGCCGCTTAGGAAGGCCTGTAACCCCTGTGAGCGGGAGTCCACATACATCACGGCCTGGCACAGGCGCTGGAAGTTTAAAAACTCTGGTGTCAAAACTTAGGTCTCTACAGGGGAGTTGTGAATCATACAAAGCTACCATCGCACAGGGGCAAGAGGGTGGCGGGTGGGCAGGGTGGGCAGAGGAACGCAGCCCACGCCTTTGCAGGCCTGGAGGCTGGGCCAGAAAAAGGGCAATGGGGACGGGATGGGGAAGCATGAAATGGGAGAGACGTCGTTAAATTTTGGATATATTTATTTATGAAAACTTCGTTAAATTTTGGATATATTTATTTATGAAAACTTCGTTAAATTTTGGATATATTTATTTATGAAAACTTTTTCAATTTAAAAACTTTGTTGCTCTATTTCAAAAGTATCTTGTGTTCATAATATAACAGAAAAATTAGGAAATACAATGAAGCAAACAAAAAAAAATCTGCACCATCCCATCAATCCCGAGACAGTCACTGTCTCCCAGAGGTTTCCTCTGCATGTTCAGTTAGTCCACATAAGTTTTATAAATTAGAGATCATATTCTTGTCCAAGCTACTGGTTATTTTTTGAACCTCACAAGATGTTACAGCTGTCTTTCCCTGTAAATAAGGCTATATTCTCACCCTAATTCTAAGAAACTGCTTATTATTGCACTGTGTGTTTGGGCCAATCCATTTGAATTGTGCATTGAAAAACAGGATGACGAGCATGGAATGGGAGGAGGGAGGTCCAAAGGGACACTGACCAAAGTCCCTGGCTGCTTGCCTGGGTGCTCCATTCCCTACACACAGCTGGAGCCAGGTCTGGATGACCTTGACTCAGAGAGACGCCTTGGCTCCCTTTGCAATTCCTGGGACAGGCCTCCCTGACTGATGGGGGAGTCTGCTAAGCAGCAGTTGTCACATGTGTCCTGCACAGACACCAGTGTAGCGGGCAGACAGCAGTGGGGCAAGACTGGACGAGGCGTGTGTGTGGGGAGAGGGGAAAGGACAGTGAGGAGGGCAGAACACTCCCCACCCCTGCAAGCCCCACCATCCAGGGTAGCTCAGAGCCCAAGAGCACTGGGCAGCGTCCAGTGTGTGTGAGGAACGGATCTAGTCTATGGCGGTCGGTGTTCCTCTCTGTGGGACGTAGGCCCACCTAGCTCGGGGCCATACCCTCTCTGAGAGCATCACAAATGCGAATTAAACTGAATCCCATTAGTGTTAAGTGAATAACCCCGTGGAATAAAACTGGTGATGTCAATGGTTTCCATTGACCTGAATGAGGCAGGGGAAAAAAAAAAAAGGATCTCGTGGAAAGAAGCCCTCGAGAACCCCCAAGGCCTTGGAGGACTGACAGTGCTGGTTGTTTAGTATGAGCCAAATTAGAAACAGAGGCATGGAAGCTGCAGCCCAGCCTGGCGAGGTCTGCGGCCACAGGAGCCACAGTGCCACAGGCCACAGTGAGGATGTCTGGGGCTCTCTCAGGAGGCCCGCGAGGTGCCGCCTGGCTCCTTTGGGTGCAGTCTCAGCGCCCCAGTCTGTCATAGGAGAGGTTGAACTCGAGGGTCTCAAAGTCCCTTTAGCTTCAGAAGTTCCATGATTGTTGGCAGCTGCCCAGGCGTGGTAAGGCCATGAAACGTGCTTGGCAGTAGGTCCTCCGGTGTGACTTGGTGCTGTGCTCAATAAAGAGTGAAGGCTCTGAGAGTCACGCCCCAGGGGAGATGCAACCCAGGCTGGAAGGACCCCTTCCCTGTGGGATAGGGTGACTTCTGTCCTGCAGAAGAGAACCCGGGGGCCCAGAGCCCTGGGGCTGACGAACCTGGGTTTTGATCCTGGACCTGGAGCCTTTTGATCCTGGAGCCTTTTCTGGCTGAATCACCTCCAGGGATAAAGGTAGTGTTCCCTCCATGCCCAGCTCTCCACCCACTGGGGCCCACAGAGGAGCAAGAACGGACACCTGTAAGAGGACGCTTCTTCTCCCGCCTGAGATGAGCTGTCCTGGAGCCCACGCCCCACCTTTGTCTCACCTTTGTTTCTAGAGCCTCTCCTGCTAGCCAAACAGAAGGAGGTGGTCCTCCAGAACCGAGTCCTGTCTGCCAGCACAGCCTCTGACCCGGCTTGGCTTTCCCCCAAGGGGCCTGGGAGCAAGGCCAGGTTTGGAGGCCGGTTTGGAACCAGGAGGCCGGGTGGGGAGTCAGCGTGCGCTCTCGTTGCAGGGAACAGCAGCGTCTTGCAGGCGGAACTCTGTCAGAAGCACGGGCGGGACCTGCCCCACAGCAAGTGCCACAGCGCCACCCAGAACCCCCGGAAGGAGACCGGCAGCATGTGGGGCCTGATGGTGGTCGCCCAGCTGCTGGCTGGCATCGGGACAGTGCCCATTCAGCCGTTTGGGATCTCCTACGTGGACGACTTCTCAGAGCCCAACAACTCACCCCTGTACATCTGTGAGTCCCAGGCTTGGAGAGGGCTGTGGGGAGGGGTCGGGGGTCTGATGTGGCACTTGCTGAGGCCCTGGGGGAATGGAACTGAGGGTCTTTGCGCACACCCCAGCAAATGAGTGCAGAGGCATGGGGTCAGACAGAGCCTTGTTGAATGCCAGCTCTGTTACCTCCCAGCTGGGAGATCCCAGGCAGATGGCTGAACCCCAGAACCCCAGGTTGCTCACCTGCAGAATGGGGCTAATATCATCTATTGCCGGGTAGCTGAGAGATGGCGAGATGATGCGTGTCAGGTGCTGCATAGATCCTAAGCCGAAACAGCTACTGGTGCCATCCAGTTTTGCAGGCACAGGTGGGGACACATGTCTTCTCCAAGCCATCCACTTCAGGGCAGGGTGGCCTTGAAAAAGCCCATGCAGACCAGATAGCAGGTGACCCTCTGAATGCCCGAGTCCTTCCCTTAGAACAAGCCACACTGAGCATCCTCAGAGCCTGTGCCCTAGATGAGACAGGCCACACTCACAGGCTCTGTGGCGCCACAAGCCCTGTGGGGCCACCAGCACCGTATCCACAGGGAGCTTCACCCATCAGCACACCCCTGGGCTGGCATTGCATGCCTTGGGATCTTGAGTGGTTCTGGCTTTGTTTGTGGGAGATGCCATAGGTATGGGCTTGTCAGGGCCAGGGGACAGATAGGGTGACACCTCAGGAACCCCCCTCAGCTTGAGAGCCTGGGGGCTGCCAACCCTTCTCAACTTGCCTCAGCCTCCTTTGCCTCGCTTCCATTCCCAGCTATCTTATTCGCCATCTCTGTATTTGGACCGGCTTTCGGGTACCTGCTGGGCTCTGTCATGCTGCAGATCTTTGTGGACTACGGCAGGACGAACGCAGGTGAGTGAGTGCTGGGGACATGTGTTCCCATCCCTACCAAGCAGTCCCCACCCCCAGCCAATCAGGGCAGAGAACGGAGCCTCAGCTCCACGTGCCCACTGCCACCTCCTCAGGCGCTCGCTCATCCCTGCACCCCGCAGATGGCGGGGAGCTGACAATGCGCCTCCTCTCGCAGGGCCCGCACAGGCTGCTGCAGCCAACACACTTTGTGCCCTCAAGCAGTTTGCAGGAGGAAGCCCGGAGACCTAGGGCAGGGCCTCTAATGTCGCCACACACCTGCCCATCTTGGTGATGGCATTCAAAATATTTCCATGGTTCTTTGAATCTAAGATCTTACTAGTTTAAAAAAAAAAAAAAGATTTAATAAGAGCTGTTTGAAGAAAAAAAGAAACATTCTGAAAAAAATATACACATGGATTGTGACTCACATCTTCTGGGCCTAATGTCGTGTTTAACTGTGTGGGCACTTGTGCAGGACTGCCTGTGTCTCATGCTGGTGCTGCTTCTTACTAGATGAGTGATCTTAGGCAAGTAACTCCATCTTTCTGTGCCTCAGTTTCCTCGTCTGTAAAATGGGGCCAATGGGAGTAAAATAGAGTTGTTATACAGATTAGAATAAGCCCAATATATATTAAGAGGTTAATCGGTGTGAGTTTGTAATCTTTAAAAGCTGGAGGGACTAAGTCACCGTGTATCTGAGAATGGGAAAATACAAATATAGGTGTAAGTACTTGGGTTAAGCATTCAGGCAGGGAGCCAGATCCAAGTAAGGGCTCCTGCCTTTGTGACCGTGTCCCACACCACCCAGGCTCCCACAGGACAGGGAAGGTCAGCACTGTATCAGAGAGACAGGTAAAGTGTTTTGGAAGTTCAAAGGCAAAAGAGAGCACTCCTGCATGAGGCAATCTGGGAGGGCTTCCTAGGGAGGTGACACCTGCTTGGAGCTAGGCCAGATAGGTGGGATTTCCACAGGTAGTGACAGGAGGGAAGGCCTTCCCAGCTGGAGGAAACCAGCTACACACAACCAAGAGGGTGCAGAGAGTGGGGAGTATGCGGAGTGTGGGGGTGGTATGTGATATTCCCGCTTCACTGAAGATGTTGCTGGAAGGCAGGACTGAGCCAGAAAGACCATACCCACAGGTCAGCCTGTCCCCTCCCAAAGAATTGGCAAGCGTGAAATCTGACCATTCTGCCAGAGCCCAGACTCCTGTCCCCACGGCTGTCAGACCACTACGTCATCCAGGAGTTGTCATCTGCCTGTATTTCAAATGACAGTTGGAAAGCCAGGGCAAGTTTTCTGCCTCAGGATCAAGCCATCTTTGCTCTTGTGCTGGCACTTCCTGAGTTGGTCCCTGGCTTTTGGTTGCCCAAAAGAGACCAGCAACTGAGCCCCTAGTCCACCCAGACAGTGCCCGGGGATGCCCGTCATCGTTTGACTGAACCACTCGGCCCCTTCATCCCTCCCTCCATGCCTGGGTGGTTTCTTTACACAGACAAACGCAGTGGCAGAATGTCAGATGTGCCAGGGGAAAGCTTCTCCTTGGAGGCCAGGCAGCCATGCTGTTGGTTCTTCAGGCTTCCAAGGACCACGGGGCCTCCTTTTATGGACCAATAAAGTGGGAAGCAATAGAGTTCAACAGCTAAGGGTGCAGGTTTGGGTACCAGGAAGACAAAGACTTGAAACTGACCAATGAAATGGCACTGACTAGCCTTAACCTGGGACAAGGGACTTCACCTCTCAGATCCTGAGTTTCCTGATTGGTTAGAGGTGGACAGAGGTAACTCCTACCCCACAGACTTGCCGGGACAGCCCAGTGGTCTGCCCCACGGATGGCCTCAGGAGAGTCAGTGCACTTCACCACCATTCCCGCCAAGGGCTGGGAATGGATAAGGCGAGGCGAAGGTCAGGTCGGGCTCCCTTCAGCAGGGGCGTCCTGATGCTCTGCTTCCTGTGCAGTGGCCTCAGTTCTCTGGGAAGACCAGAACGGCCTGGAGAGGGAATGTTGTCTCCACCAAGGTTCTAGCTCATGGCTTGTTTCTTCTCCATTGTGGGAAGAAAGTCAATAAAATTCTCCCCAATCAGAGAGTCTCTTTCCAGTCAGGGGAGATCGTGCATTCATTCGACAAACACTTACATCCTTTTGGTTTCTCTTCAGCTGCAGTTAACCTGAGCCCAGGTGACCCCCGCTGGATTGGAGCCTGGTGGCTTGGCCTTCTCATTTCTTCAGGCCTCTTGGTTCTCACCTCTTTCCCCTTTTTTTTCTTTCCTCGGACAATGCCCAGAGGCGTAGAGGTAAGGTTCTGAGAGCCCAAGACCCTAGCTATACGAGTTTAAGAAAGGGAGGTAGAAAATAAGCAGGGCTGAGATGGTACAACAGCGTAAGCAAATTCTGGGTGGAGTCAAAGCGAGTTTCAGAATGCAGGACTTGTCAGAGGCGTTGAGAGGTGAGGTGCTCGTGAATGTCCAAAAGGCGGTATATCCTGGTGTCCCCTTGCCATGTTGGCATCTCAAGCATCAGGCGGGCTCCAGGAAACACAGTTTGGGAAACACTGAGTTCATCTAAACTGGGCTGAAGAGTTAAGAGCCGATAAAAGCCACGTGTACGACCAGGCACACTTGAGTTTTGCATTTAATATGCCCATCGTGTCTGAACCTGAAGGACAGAGGAGGGAGGGGATTCCCAGCTCTGGAGAGTGCGAGAGTGGTTGAGATTGGAGTGTATGTATCTTGAGCAGGGTGACCTTCCAAGCATCTTACAGTGAGATCTGCTGGGGAAAGGAATCAGGGAGGGGTGAAAATGGAAAACAAGGAAGAGAAGCCTGGAGGAGGGCCTTGACGGTAGGCTGAGGGTCTAAAGCCTGTTCGAATCCCGTGAAGTTTTGGGCACTGCAGTGATGAGGCGGGCTACGTGGGTGGCAACATGGCAGTGTGGATGGGGTTGAGGGGTCTGGAAGGAATGAAGGCTGGAGATCCAAAGAGGCCAGTGCGGAGGCCTGAGCGAGAGACGGGGAAGGTAGCCATGGCTGTCAGAGGGCTGGGACAAGGACAAGGATGGCCACTCCTGGGGAAGGCTCCTGGAGGACTCCACAGGGAGCTGTATCGGAGGAGGAGAAAGAGATAAAGTTTGTGCCTAAGTTTTGAGCCAGAAATAGAGCTTGATGTTTGGCAATGGGGTGTATGAAATCTAGGCCCAGTTGCAGGAAGAGGGGCAGGGGCAGGAGGACCTCGGCTTGTCTTGGGGGAGAATTTCAGAGGCTGGCAGCACTTGGTGGGGGGTCGGGGTCAGCAGACCTGGGTTTGCATGCAGCTCTGCTACTTATACACTAGCTGAGTGATCTCAGTCAAGTTTCTTTGTTCCCAAGCTTCCTCTTCTTTAAAATACTGTAGATAATTAGAGTACCTATCTGGGAAGGAAGTTGTGAGGAATGAGACAATGCATGTGGAACACCGGGCACGGTGCCCGGCAGGGAGTAAGTACTCAATGAATGGGAGCGTCTGTTCCTGGTCACGAGTTCCCTGGAGCATCTAACGGTGCCGGAGCTCAGGGGCCTTGCGTCTGGGAGTAGTTCAGATGGGGGCCCCAGGCTGCAGCTGGCAAGGTCAGAAGATGTAGGCAAGGTCACTGAGGTAGTATGTTCCAGAAGTCAGTGGCCCCTGGAATCTGAGGGTGGGGGGAAGTATAGTCATGACAGATAGACAAGGGGTGGGATTCAGGAAGATACCTTTGGCATCAGTCATGGGAAAGTTAGATATGAAATAATATGCCCACAAGTGTCGTGGGAGGCATTGGCACGGATGTGTTCTGGTTGTCAGCCAAAGCCCCAGGCTCACTGAAATGCAGGCGGTGTTTGCTTCAAGAGAGCGTTCTCTGGATGCCCTCCAGACACCCGGGCCCGGGGCAGCTCACCTCTGCCTGGCCCTGAGCCTCAGATACCAGACGGTCCAGGGCCTGGGGAGGGTGGCTCCTTCGAGCCTAGGCCATTAACACTCAGCCCCTTTTGCTGCCTTCAGAGGTCTCCTGCTGAAGCGGATGAAGCAATGTCGATGGAGGGCGACAGCTCGAGAGGCTCCCTGGTGGATTTCATTAAACGTAACTGGCTGGCCCAGGCCGGGGTGGGCGGGGGGTCCCGTCCCCACGTGGTCCGGTGTGGTCAGGGGCAGCAGGAGCACATGGTCCGTAGCTGGCCCATCTCTTGGGTGGACCTGCGGCTCAGGGATCCTGGTGACTACCACTTTGCAGGTACCAGGAGACCCAAATTCAGGCCGGGTCAGTCCCCTACCCCTGCCCCACGGTCTGGCCTCCGTGCTTTCTTCCCTCCTCCCTTCACAGGAAGTGGGGGTCACAGTGCCGGTCCTGTTTCTATCTGCCCACCACCTGATTTCTTTTGGCACAGCCTCATTTTATTTAGCCCATGAGCATGTGTCCTGGGAGTCTGAGTGGCTGTGTGCCCCTAGACTGGCCACTGAACATCTCAGTGCCTCCCATTCTGCCCTGAAGAAGAGGGGGAGTGGGGCAGGGGCATCCCATGGTGGCTGCCGCAGAGGCCTGGCCCCCGACGGTGGTCTGTCCGCAGGGTTTCCCCGCATCTTCCTGAGGCTCCTGATGAACCCTCTCTTCATGCTGGTGGTGCTGGCCCAGTGCACCTTCTCCTCCGTCATCGCCGGCCTCTCCACATTCCTCAACAAGTTCCTGGAGAAGCAGTACGGCACCTCGGCGGCCTACGCCAACTTCCTCATCGGTGAGTCTGAGGGCGCAGTGGGAGCTGGGCCGGGGCCAGGCACTCCAGCCGCCCATCCAGGGTCGGGTGCAGGCCAGACCGGACGCGGACAGGAGCCGGAGAAGGACTGCCCAAGAGAAAGAATTTTAAGGACATTTTTCCTGGTTGACAATCTAGAATGTTCTTGGCAGATTTCTGGGAGTCCTTCCAGTCAGAAGCGGGTGGAGGCTGGGGGCTGCCTTCCTCCCGGCTGAGGGGCTGGACGCCTCTGACAGCCTCCCAAAGGCCCTGACATCACAGGGGGAGCAGAGGAGAGAGGGAGGATCGGATCTGGGGGGAGACAGCATGCCTCCTGGGTTTTTCCTTCTTGTCCAGGGACTCAGATACATTTGCTTCAGTAAGAGAGTATGTGGCCCAGTGACTGTCAACCCAGGCTGTACTTCAGGCTCCTCTGGAGAGCTTTACGAAACACAGATGCCCAGGTCAATGCAGCCGGGGGCCCTGGCATGGGAGCATCAGTGTATTGTACAGCTGAGCTTGAGAGCCACCAATGTGGTTCCAAGTACCCAAGGGAATCACTGGGCCCAACCCACAGGCGAGCGTAACCATACAGACTGGCAAGGGGGTTGGTGCGTGAGATTTTGAGGGTGACTCCCCTGACCCCTCTGTGTGGCCCTTGGGTGTGACTTCACCCCTCTGGCCTTCAGTCTCTGGTACATCAGGATCATCAATCACTCTTGTGTAGCTAACCCCATTGGATCATAGCGAGGATACAGTGAAGGCCCAAGAGATGAAAGATGCTTAATAAATGCACATCCAACCCACATCCCTCAGGCTGCAAGGGCCCTACTTCTTTATTCTTTGCATCAGACAGGGGAATCCTCTAGGTCAAGATAACTCCCTAGATGTGCCTAGAAAACAGTGAATGCTCAATTACTGTCAGCTATTACAATTATAATTTATTAACAATATATCAGATGGTCCTTCCTGAAGCCATGCTCCCTTCTCGGTGGTCCAGCTCAGTGTCTGTAGCCCGCATGCACTCCCAGGCCTGTGCACCCACACCGGCTCCCTTTCTCCATCTGCAGGTGCTGTGAACCTCCCCGCTGCAGCCCTGGGGATGCTGTTTGGAGGAATCCTCATGAAGCGCTTTGTCTTCTCTCTACAAACCATCCCCCGAGTAGCTACCACCATCATCATCATCTCCATGATCCTCTGTACCCCTCTCTTCTTCATGGGATGCTCTACCCCGACCGTGGCCGAGGTCTACCCACCCAGGTAATGGGGAGTAAGGGGTATGGAGATAATTTTTGCTAGAGCCAGAGACTTGATCTGGCTGCCATATATCTTCCCTTCCTGCCTCCCTGACTCTCTTCTCTGCGATTCACTTTTGATCTGATATCTAGTTGCCATAGCGTAATGGCAAGTACTCTGGACTCTGATCTGATCTTTCACGTGGCAACTTAGAAAATCAGGTCTTGAATAGCATGCTCCATTATTAGAAGAGATCACAAGGTCCTAGTGGGCCACCAGCATTCGGGGTTAGGGTTCTGTTTTTTAAGAAGCTTCAAAAACTAATTCATTTGGTTTCAGGATGAATCTGTAGGGCTGTGAGCCACAGGCACCAGGAGATAAGCTATGTTTAGCATCAGCTCTGTGCTGGCTAGAATTACAGTCTCATTGAGCTGCTGAAGAAAGATGAGAGGAGACTTGGAAAGATATAGAGAGGAACAATGAAAGTGATGGCAGACTTGAAAAATTAGGGCAGGTAAGGAGGAGGGCAGCTAAAGTCTAGCTATCAGTTTACATAAAGCAATAGGGGTCATGGGCTTAAGTTTGGCTTTATGTTCAGGATGACGGGACAAGGAGCATTTTCTTTTTTTTTTCCTGGGTGCCACCTTTCAACAAGCTTTTCTTTTAGAGTTTGCCTAATGAGGTTGTAACATCGGAGACAGTCTCAGTGTTTTTTCTCTTTAAGATAACCTCCTCCTGTCTTTGGCTGGTGAAGGAGAGAAGGGAGGGAAGAGAGGGTCACTCAGGGTGGGGACTGACCCTTGGCGTGTGCTGCACTTCTGCAGGCTGACCGTGGATTGAGAGAAGCCGAGAAGCCTTCCGGGCCTTTTAATGGCTTTCCCTGGGCGTTTAGCACACGGCTTTGTCATCAGACGGGCCTGGGTTCTAGTCTTGGTGCTGTTTGCTAGTTGGGGGAAGTTACTTATCTAAGCTTCAGTTTTCTCATCCACAAAAGGCAAATAATTAATTGTAGACTCATTGGGATGATTGTGCATAAAAAGCCCCTGGATACCGTGCCTGGCACATAAAAGATGGCCCATAAATGTTAAGTATTATTAGCATGATTATATTGGTGGAAGGTCTGGACTGTGGTTTGTCAGCCCCTATCCCAACCCTCCCCAAAGAAGCTCATGAATGTCACATATGGGAGACAGTGGAAATAGTAAGACCAACCAGCGAAATCCCTTGGGTGGAAGCTCAGGGGATGGAGTGACCTGGGCAATGTCTACGCTGACCCAGGAGACAGGCAGCAAGCTAGAGCCCAGATTGACTCAAGGGGACTCGGCCACTGTCTTCAGCCTGAGCCCAGCTGGAAGAAGGGGGACACAGGGCACATATTGCCTGTGACTTCCCCATTGCAATTGCCATTCTCTCGACAGTCCTGGTTGGTTGTCATCCTGACTCCTGCTGTGGCAGGGGGTTTGCCCACCAGGACTTTTCAACTGACTGGTGGGTTTGGGCTCCAAGTAGCAGAAGAAACAGACAGGTGCCGCCACCACTGAACAGTGGCAAATTTATCGTTGGCTCCCCTACACATAATTCAGATCCCAGGGTGGCGCTGGCCCAAGACAAATAGAGATGCACAGACACATTAACTGGCCAGGAACTCACACTGGCTGGAGTGTAGAGCTTTTTCTTTGGTCTCGCTTTGTTTGATTCTCCGTTTCCTTTTTTGCTGGCAGCACATCAAGTTCTATACATCACCAGCCTCCTGCGTGCCGCAGGGACTGCTCGTGCCCAGATTCTATCTTCCACCCAGTCTGCGGGGACAATGGGGTAGAGTACCTCTCCCCTTGCCATGCCGGCTGCAGCGACATCAACATGAGCTCCGTGCCCTCCAGGCAACTGGTAAGGACAGCTGGGGTCCCAGAGGCAGAAGGAGCCCTATGGGGTCTGAGACTGCTCCCCGGCTCCGGGGTGGGCAGGGCTCCATACACTCTCATTGCCAGCATCCTGGCCTCCTCTGGGCCACGCCCATCCTCTCTCTACCTCCCATTCCCTAGGGACTTGACCAGATGCCGACAGCCCAACGTCAATTAAAGATTGGCCAGTGTCCAACAAATTCACATTCTTAAGGCCTGCCAATGCTCAGAACAGAAACAAGGCAGAGCACTCCGTCAGCCGAGGCCTTCACGCCTCATCCTGTTGGGTCCTGATGGGACATCTCCGGGTCCTGCATCCTGATGGTGTTGCAAAGCCATGTGGGCTGCAACAAATAAAGGCAGAGGCAGAGGGCCTCTGTGACATGAATCTGGAAGGTTAGAGCCAGAAGAAGTAGTCGAGAGCATTTTGTTCAACCCCTCGGCTCCCAAGTGTGGCCACATGACTGGCCTGAAGTCATGCAGCTATTAATATTTAGGGGCCGATCTGGGACCAAACCCAGGGTCCTGCCTCAATCTGTTCGCAGCCCACGTATCTCCTGGCCACCAGCCTTCCATTGGGCAGCCTACATTCTGTGTTCACTTGGCGAGGGCCTTTCCATCTCTCTCTGGCCTGGCTCCAGATCTTTTAGGATCAGCCAGCAGCAAACTGACTTGAGTCATTTGTTTAGTTATTCAACAAATAGTGAACACTAGGCACATCCACAGGTGCTAAGGGTATGGGAGTAAACCCATCGGATAAAGTCCCTGCTCTCATGCAGTTTACATTCTATCAAATAAATGCACAAGAGAGTTTCAAAGAAAGTAACCCATGCCATGGAGAGATTTCATGGGACAGAGATTGCCCGGGGGTCTCCCTAAAGAGGTGAGGTTAGAACTGAACAACCAACTGAAGACCGGGAGCAAGCATTCCAGGTAAAGGGAACAGTGAGTGCAAGTCCCAAGGGCATGCATGTACTGGAGTGCCATGGGAGAAGAGTAAAAAGGCCAGGGTTGGCACTGAGTAAGGAGTGTCACACCCAACTGGACCAGAGAGCGGGCAGGGGCCAGGGCCAGGTAGGTCAAGCTCAGGAAACTCTGAGCAATTGGGAAGTCTATGCAGTTACCGTAAGGATGCCCTAAGGAAAGGAATGTGCATTATTCCCATAAGTCTATAGAGGGCATTGGCAAGCCTAGCTCCTCCCCCTCCCCCCACAACCAAGCCCTTCTGAGAGGCCAGGCACAGCCACTGTGCTGGCAAAGGAGTGTGCCCCTCAGGCAGAGGGAGGATGAGGAGCTTGGACAGGATGCTCTCTAAGTTGCCTTCCAGTTGGAGGAGTCTGTGGTGGCTTCTGTGGTTTTCTTATCTTTATTTACTTACTTCTGACTCACCTACTTCCAGAAATAATCTTGGCAAGTTTCCAATAACAGCATAAGTACGTCAAGATAAAGATTCATTAGCATAATATTTAGAAAAAAGTAGTAAATTATAAGGAAAACAATCTGTATTTATAAAACCCAGACTGAGGATGGTAACAGCAATATTGTATTTAACTTACCTCTGAGCTTCCTAGGAGTCAAGGTAACAAAGGTGCATAGTTCTAATATTGGCCCCAGAACTGTTATAATACTTAAAGGATCATTGACTGGTCCATCAGACACTACAGGAAGAAAAGTAAAGATCATCAGACAAGGGCAGTGGCCACCAAAGTACAACAGGATTGAGCCATACAGACTTGCAGACTTGACACAGGGGCTTTTTTATCTGGAGTCCTTTACAGACAGAAGGAATTCCTCTCAGGCAGCGAGAGGAATTCCTCTCCCACAAGTCTCGACAGATGCAAAGCTCAGGGGATTTCATTGTATCCCCACTGCTTTCCTCCTATTTATACCTTCCCCTGCCACAAACACAGAACGGCTAAAACAACAACCCGCAAAACCACCACTGCTGGGCACAGGGTGACCAGGCCCCTAGGAGAGCCCTCCCCGGCCCCTGGCTCCAAGCTGGGCTGGGTGGGCCTGCCTTGGTGGTGACAGCCTGGCCCCCCAGCCTGGCCCCCCAGACACGGGTGACTGCTGGGGGGCCCTGCCCACGCTGGAGGACAGTCTCTGTTACCCAAACAGTGACAGAGGCGGGACCCCCAGGGCAGCCTGAAATCCTCACCTGGTCTCCTCCTCAGCCTCGCCCAGCTCCCTGGGGACTTGGAGGACACAGGGGTTTAACCCGTGAGAGTCTCGGGAAAGAGCTGGGCCAGATGTTTGAAGCGTGCGGAGGTGAGATAATAATGGTAGCCTGTCCTCTTGTTCCCTCCCTTTCCTCTTTCAAGACCTATTTGAACTGCAGCTGTGTGAGTGGGGGATCCGCCTCAGCAAAGACGGGCTCGTGCCCCGTGCCCTGTGCCCACTTCCTGCTCCCGACCACCTTCCTCATCTCCTTCGTCTCCCTGATTGCCTGCATCTCCCACAACCCGCTCTACATGATGGTGCTGCGGTGAGTGGCGCCCCGGGAGGCGGGGGCCTGGCTTTCCCATGGCTCCCTTCCCGCCTCGCCTCCGTTTTCTGGCCCTCAGCCTCCTTTGAATATTGACACGCAAGCTCTTTTGGCGATACGGGGACATGGTGCTAGCAGGGACAGTGCCGGGGATTCTGCTCGCGCAGGCTCTGTGCGAGGCCCTCACTGCTCGGCCTCACATGGCCACAAGAGCACCTCCATTCTGCACCTGGGAGGCTACATCTCCAGCCGGGAAGGGCAGGCCTGGCGAATGGCTGGGCCGTGCTGTGGAAATGCCTGTAGATTTGCTTATTTTTAACTCCTAAAGGAACCGAGAGGAGGGAAGAGAATTCAACTGGGTGTACAAAACCAAGGCAGGAATTTTGATTGAGATCTTGGGCCCCTTCTGGTCTCTGCTCCATGAGGCCCTGACTTAATGCTGGCTGGAGCATTAAGGAACATTCCAGAGACAGAGCGGAGGGCTATGGAAAAGGATGAAAATGAGAAAATTCCAGTATGCTTGGATCGAGGACCAAGTCCTCAGGTCAAGGAAGGGAGAGGCCAGGGCGGGAGGGGGAGGGGAGAGGTGTCCCATTACAGCTGGAGCTGAAGGGCCTCTGAGGTTTTTACAGGGAATGACCCTTCCTTCACCTCCCTGGCTGCCAAGGAGAAAACAACATTTCAACCAAATTCACTTAACCCAGCCCCTGCCCTCCCTCCTGTCCTCACCCGCTTTACAAGCAGAGAGGGAAAAACACAGGATTTGGCCTTCCGGTGCCAGAGTCAGTCCGTGCACTGCCGCACGCTGAATTAATGTCTTGGGTGTTGCTTAACCTCGCTGAGCCTCAGTTTCCTCATTTATGAAATGGGGATAATGCAAAGGGTTAGTGTCAGGACTATATAATAAATTGCTTTATAAATATGAGGTGCTCTGCATATTGGTCAGTTATCACTATTAACCAAGTTATGATAATTATTAACAGCTAGCTAGGTACCCTTGGCTTACTTTCCCCAGAAGGCTAGGAGATGAGGAAGGAGCAGAAGCAGCCCCTTGTTTGGGGTCTGGGATTTTACCTTATTTACAAGTTAGCTATCAAGTTAGCTTGCAAACTTGCAAGCTACTGTTTCAAGGATGCTGCCAGAAGATATGAGTCTCATGGGGCAAAGACAAAGGACTTTATACCAGCACAAAAAGCAGCATGAACCTCATGCTGTGTCAGTTATCCTTGCCCTCCAAGTCCTACATGTGTGACACAGAGAGGCCCAGGTGTATGTTTTGCAGGAACACTGAGTGTGAGAGAGCCACGCTTATACAGTGAACAGTGAGAAAGACCATTCTTGCTCTGGGAGAAACTTTAAACTCATGCCTCATGGTTGCTTACTGCAACCACAACGCTGAGAAATGGCACAGGAAAAAAGCAGTTAGGACCTTGCATTCTTAGCACACTCAGCAAGAAGGTGAAGGGATGCTGACAGCCCATGGCATGTTGCTTTCCCCAACACCACTGTCACCCTCTTGTCTACTGCCACCCCAATCCTGGGCATTCCAAGTACTGACACTTTCACCGAAGGCACCACAGTGGGCTTCCCCTCTTACACTCCCTGGTCAGATGGACCACGGTGGCCCCTTTAGCCCTGGGATAAATTTGTATGAGGCCATAAAGAGGAGAGGGGACAGGGTAAGGAAATCTCTAGGGGAAGTCCCTAAGTAGCAGGGGAGAGAGGCTACTCCATCCCCCAGAGGACTTCTGTCAAGTCCCAAGGATGCAGAAGTTGTGGAGAACAGAGCATCATTCCGGCCACAGGGCAGGCTTCTCAGGACAATCTCCCCAAGTCTGGTCCAGGGCAGGGGTAAAACTAGAGAGGAGGCCCCAGGACTCCAAAATGATTTAAAAATAAATCCCAATGGAGAAGAGGACAGAATGGATGCTATTTAGTATGAAGGAGAGGCTTAAAGATGACTTTATGGGTGACCCAAGCATTATTTCTATCAGTGCTGGCCCCCGAGCAGCCGTGGGAATGCAGGCTGGGAGTGAAGCTCCGCTGAAATGTGGAAGGAGGGAGAGTGGTCAGAAAGTGATAACTTGGATGGTGCAAGGGCAATATGTGTAACCTCAACATTTGTACTCCGTAATATTTTGAAATAAAAAAGAGATCCAGTATTGATTCAGGGCCAATGGGGCAGAAACTAGAGGGGCCAAAGATCTCAATTAAAAGCCAAACTAGGGTGCCCAAGTCCCATTTAGTTGAGAATCTAGGGAGTATGCCAGGGTAAGGGCCAAAACAAGGCGGCATCTACAATGGAGGGATCTATAGGCATACAGGGAGCAGCCATCAGATCAAATTCAAGGCACTTTCCCTTCCAGGGATCCCAGTGGGAGCCCCTTTCCCTGCCTACACCCCAGTGAGTGTTTGCCCCACTGGGCCATCTCTCAGGGGGCTGGAAGAAGGTCTCTTTCCATTTGCTGACAGAACTGCGGTGATGGGGTTGAAACAGACCATGTGGAGTCTCAGGATTACCTCTGGGCTCCCTTCCTCGCCGTCCCCTCATCCCTGAAGGCTTTTCCCAAGCACCTCCGAGAGTGTGTGTGCTCAGAGCACAGAGCACCCGGGGTCAGGTCACTCATCGAGTGCCTCTGCGGGCCAGATGTCCGCTCTGAGCCTCTGTCCCCAGCCAAACACATTTTCCCCTCTTGAAGGAAGAAGGGCAGAGGCAGGACTGGCTACGTCCTTTGCAGGGCCGGGTGCAAATGAAAATGTAAAGTCCCTGGCTCAAAAATGAAGAATTTCAAGACAGCCACAAGCCGAGCATTAAGCCAAATGTGGGGCCTTCGTGAGAATGGAGTTCTGTGCAGCTGCGCAGTTCACACACCCACAGAACTGGCCTGGAGTGGGGAATGATTTCAGTTGTGCACAGAGCCTGCAGCCAGGGGCCCTAGGTACATTTTGCACCAGGGCTGCCTTTGACTCGGCTCAGACGCCCTCTGGGAGTTGTTCAGACCTGCTGCTGTCAGCACACCGCTGGCATCCTTCTCTCTGCTCCCAGCCTCTTCCGCCCTCTGCCTCTTGAAGGGGGCTCCGGGCAGCCCTGAAAACCACACAGACCAGGGGTTCTCAAGTGAGAGTGGGCATCAGAACCTCCCGCAGAGCTCGTTAAGGCGGGTCTGTGGGTCCACCCCCAGGGTTCCTCACTCAGTAGGTCTGGGCTGGGGCCTGAGAACCTGCATTTCTAACAAGTTCCCAGAGCACACTGACGATCCAGGGTCCGATACAAACAATGGGGCCTTCAGCCCAGGTGAATCAGGCCATGTGGGGCAGGTTCTGACCTGCCCTGAGGCCGGCCGCCTCTGAATAGTGCAGCCCTGAATCTGCCCACCGCTGATTCCCTGACTTCCTTTTCAGTGTAGTGAACCAGGAAGAAAAGTCATTTGCCATCGGGGTGCAGTTCTTGCTGATGCGCTTGTTGGGTAAGTGTCTACGACCCCCTTCCCAAGAAGTGGCCCCAGGCTGTGGGGTGCAGGGAAGGAAAAGGGGAAGGTCACATCTGCGTGGTAAAGAGAAGCTGTGCAAAATCAATGGCAGACACCAAAACCCCATGGGGACAGTTTCCCTGATTGCTTGAGGTTAGGAAAGGTTAGGAAAGGCATTAATTCCAAACTGATTTATGTAAGAAAAATGAAAAATGGACACAACTGAAAATAGCTAATAGAGAGTTAAAGATAGGTATTTTAAGATCTTTCTCCAAGAGCTTGTGGTAGGAACAAAACCTTGCATTCCTACCCCAGCCAGAATAGAAGCTGAGCCCAGCCTTGGCTTTCTTCCCATGTTACAAAATTCACTCCTCCTACTGCTATTCAACAAAAGTGTCTTCTGTGCAGGGCCCTCTATGTCCAACCTTGCCTGCCCTCAAGCAGCCCAGACCCCACCAGAAGAATGGAGCTATGCACAAGTGACCAGATCAGCAGCGCCCCACGGGGACACTGGCTCTCCCTGGGTGCCATTGCAGGCCCTTCCCAGGACTGCTCATGCTGGCTGTCCCTTCTTGACACATCCATGTACTGGATTTAACACCAGGATTAATATGGAGATACCTGCAATGACAGGCAAACAGAAGTAAAGGGACTGGATGCAACTGAGGATGTATTTATTAAGGATCTAGTGGGTACAAACTGCAGGGGGGAATACGGAGATCCCAGAGAGAGGGACTTCAGTTCCCAGAAAGTGTCCGTTCCAACGTTTCACCTGAAATCCTGTAGAGCCCACTGTGCGTCATTACCCAGGAGACCAGGTCCACACCTCTCCCTGCAGTGGCTTCCATTTCATTCTAGTGTGCATGGGTGATGTCCCTCCTGAGGCTGGCTGAATGGGAACCCTGGCAGGGCCCAATCTAACTCCAGGTTGGGTGAGGTGTCTGGATAATGAATGAACCAGCTTTTTCAACTGGATTTCTGGGCCTCAGGCCACTTGCTCCTCTATCCCTGCTGAACCTCTTTGAGTCCCTTCAGACCTGCTCCTCTGGCCTGCATTGTAAACACCCAGGACTCAGGGCAGTGGGATCTACCTGCCCTCCTGGCTGAGGCTAGGAAAGACCATTGTCATCATAGTTCCTTCTGTTCATTATAACTTAGCATTCATAACTTGCTCTAAAACCTCCCCTGGGAAGGAAACCTTGCACTCCTCCTGGCCCAGCTGGCAGCTGGGATATGCTCTGAAGAGCCCTGCCCTGCTTCCTCCAGCAACCTGGAATATGACCTTGAAAACAACACTCCCACTCTTCAAAGCACTTGCTGCTTTTGTTTTTCCATTTGAGCTCAGATAACTCAATGTGGGGCCACAGTTAGAAAACCCAGGCCAGGAGGGATTCCATATATCCACCAAGAATGTAACTCCATCCTAGGGTAGAAAAGAAAGAAGGACTTCCTACTCATAAACTCCACCAGGTTTAAAATCACCCATCGGGATTTGGTTGAAAATTTTTCTGGACTTCATTTCTACTTAGGAAGGTATCCTGGGAGGTCAGTCCATCTATCCAGTTTCCAGTTCACCTGGAGACAGAAGTGAGCAGGGTCTGAGTAGAGAAGCTGTTTCTGGAAGTTTCTGTGTATGGGTGAGGCCACATGCAGAATATCGTCTCTTTCCTCTAGAAGCAGCATCTCACAGGGCCCTAAACAAAGTCTGGGAGGCTGTTCCCAGCACTGTGGTTCTGAGGATGATATGATCAGCCTGGGTATAAATCCTAGACAAGCCCCTTCCCAGTCCAGTGACTGTCTAGAACTGCCTAGAACTGTGGCTAATGATACTGGGCAGGGAATGTCCAGGATATTTGATACCAGGAGAACATAGCCCCTGCTGGACCAGGTCTTACCACTCAGCTTCTGGGACGTTTGGGGGACTAGAGGCAGAAGCTCCGAGCAGCCAGGATATTAAAAGGTCTTCAGAGGTATTGTCTGACCCAATAGGGCAGCGTGGTGTAGTGGAAGCACATGAGATTCGAATCTCAGTAGGCTAGGGTTCAAGTCCAGCCCTGACCCCTCTTGGCTATGTGACAGCACCCATACATCTGGGCCAGTGAGAGAACCTAAGAAGCCGATGCTCTCGAGACCCTCCTGCCACAGGGTGGAGGTCAGTGTTTCTCCACCTGGGCCAGTCTCAGGCATGAGAACTGTGTTGGCTGTCTGCGCTGGCATCGGGGCGACCCCGGTGACTCATTTTGCCTTGAAAGAATGGCGCAGGTCCCCTTTCTCTTCTAAGCCTTCTGGTGAAAGAGAAATTCAGGCTTCACTGAACGCTATTCTGCTTTCCAAAGTCACTGTGATGCCCAAGGGCGGGGCAGAGCCATTCTCATACATGCGAACCTCGCAGGGGCGCTGGGGGGCGGGCTCCGCTCCCCACCCTGCCTGCACCTCAGCCTTCAGCTCCACGTGACCCGGGCTCTCTGCACTCTTCCCCCATGCCAGCCTGGCTGCCGGCTCCAGCGCTCTACGGCCTCACCATCGACTACTCCTGCATCCGGTGGAACTCGCAGTGCTCTGGGCAGCGAGGGGCCTGTGCCTACTACGACACGGACGCCTTCCGGGACAGGTGGGGGCCCAGCACACTCATGGGTCAAGGAGGCCAGGCCCCAGGCCTGGGCAAAGGGTGGCCATCTGCCAGGTGGCTGCTGGGACAGGCAGCAGCAGAAAGAAGGGACAGAGACAGCTGGAGTCTGAGGGAGAGGCCATGGCTGTGGGACGACCCGGGGCCAGCCTCGGGCCGCTCAGAGAGAGGGGCCCCCATCCGGCAGAGCTCTGCGGGCAGGCGGCCCAACTTGTCTCAGTGGGCCAAGCCCGGCTGCAGTGCTGTTGATTTCTGCACCCCTTCCAGCCACCGCCCCTGCTGCCATCATCACATGGCCCAGAAGCCACGGGAAAGTAGGCTTGAGGGGCTGGGGATGGTGTGGGAGTGCCAAAGAAGGCCAAGGAAGGGATGGAACGAGAGGACAGCAAGATGTCCCTCTCCTGCTGGCTCTGCTCAGAGGACAGGCCCCCAGGGTCTGGCTCGGGCAGCTGTTTCATCTTTGCCCCTCTGGAGGAGCCCGTGGAGGGATGACAAGCACTGGATTAGGAGTCCTGTGCCTACTCCCGGCCTATGTTTGGGTCAAAGGAATGAGGAAGGTGATCTCCTCCTGGGTGGTGACAGATCCTGCCCTGCATGGTGCCCACACATGCCCTGGGCCATTGTCAGAGTGAGGCTGCACTTTCTGGTGTTCCTGGCCCTGGGACCTGGGCTGCAGAGCCCCCTCCCTCACCAGCCCTGCATCCTTCTGCCCCACAGGTACCTGGGCCTGCAGATGGGCTACAAGGCCCTGGGCATGCTGCTGCTTGTCTTCATCAGCTGGAGGGTGAAGAAGAACAAGGAGTACGATGTACAGGAGAAGGCCGCAGGCCTCATCTGACCTGAGCCTGGGCCATGCCCTGCTCCAGGGAACGGACCCTGCCTCCTCCACACCTGCCTGTGTTCACCAATGTTAGCGTATCATTTCCTTTTTATTTTTTAAATAAGAAAGAAAACCCCAGTCACCATTTATTTGCCTTCCCTGCCTTCTCCTCCCGAAGTCCCTCTTGTGGCTCCCGGCTGGGCCATAGCTGGGGGCCTGGCCTTCCCCCGTGCCCAGGCTCTCCTCAGTGATGGGTTCTCCAACGAGCATGCCCACTGAGGTGCCTCTGCCCCTCACCATCGCTGTGGGGGAGTCCTAAGTGGACAGAGAAACTGGGTATCTGCCCTCCTTTCCAGGCAGCCCAGGTCTCTCTCTGACTGTCCACACCCACAGAGAAGTGGGCGAGAGGAAGGGAGTGCTGAGTTATCAACAGCTAGAGCCGCTCTGGGAGTGGGAGCCTGGCTACAGCCCCCTTTGCACCTGGGTTTGGCATCAGCGTGGACCGTGGGAGGGGCTGGCTCCCATCCCCCTCAGCTCCTGCCCGTAGAGGCCCCTAGAGGCCATTTAGGAAGCTGCCAGGTTGGGAAGTGTGGTCTATCTCCATCACCTACGTGCAGGGACTAAAGACTAACCTTGAGGATGGGTCATCCAAACGCTGTTCACGTGAACCTTGGATCTGCACATGTCTATCTCTGTCTTTCTGGGGCCACGTTTCAAGAAAGTCACAGCATGGTAAAGACCCCCAGAAGGGCCTGCAAAAATGGTCCTGATGCCCAGCCTCCCAGACCCACAGAGCGGGCCAAGACCCCCTCATCTCAGAGTAATGGGAAGACCCTCCCCACGTTTCCCTGGGAGCCGATGAGCGGGCTTCAGTGGACATCCCTGCCTGGACTTCAGCCTGTACCCCTAGGAGTAAAGAGAGGCCATCTGAGATGTCAGCAAAGCAAGTGAGGAAGCAGAGTGGATGTCAACTGTCACCTAGCAGATGACAATCTGCAGCCCATAAAACAGAGGCCAGTGAGGTTGACCTTCCTGATTTCAAACACGCTTGTACTCAACCATTTTCTCAGCCTCTTCTCACGGCCCCAGACAAGTGGGCACCTGGGTTGAGAGATATCGCTGCTATGTGACAGAGGTTGAGAGACAGAAGTCAACAAAGGAGGCCTTTCATCAACAAATACGATATTTATTGCAGACGACTTTGTGCAAGGCAGTGCCAGCACTAGTACGTGGTTCTCCACTGAGCTTCTCTTACTTCTTACCTCACCTCCCTCCATTTCCACCGGGCCTCCTCCCGGAGAGGGCTTGGAGGACAGTGTGGGATGGGGGTGGGGGTGGGGACAGGCACAGCAAAAACCCAGAGACTGTCAAGAAGGATCCTGACCTGACCATCCACGCTGTCCCTGGCCCCACCAGGCTGACTCTGTACCTGGCCCTTTGCCAGACAGACACCTAGCTCACCATGTCCTCTGGAGCAGCTGGGCATTGGTCATTGCCATACGTGACCCTCGACTGCCACTCCTATTGGAAGACCTCCTCCAGAGCACACTAGAAGCCACCTCTGGAAAGGCCACGTATGGTGATCAGCCAAAAAATGTATTTCAGTGGCCAAACTGCTGTGAGACTGAAATCTTTGTGGAAACCACTGTTACAGGCAGCCTCATTTCCAAAGATCTCACTCAGGAAAGGAGGCTCCATGCAACCTCAGGGGCCAGTTTCAGCATTTGCAACAGTTCTGCTTGGAAAATGATTCCCTGCAACTAATGCTGGTCTTTCTCGCTGCGATTTAACCAAATTCTGAAGGCACTGCCTTCAACTGAGTTCACAAACAATGAATGCCAACCTTCAGATTCTAGAAGATTGGTTGCTTTCTCAAACCTTTATTCTATTATGATATTGCTATTAATATATTATAATTTTGCTATTGATACAACTTGGTCATGAATTTGTGCTGTCACTTACATACGTCAGAGAGCAGACAGAACCTGCACCTTCTGAACAGAGGAGATGACCATGACACAGTCCCCAGGGGCCCATGGCCATGGGGACTAGAGGATTGCTTGAGCCCAGGAGTTTGAGGTTGCTGTGAGCTAGGCTGACACCACGGCACTCTAGCCCAGGTAACAGAGCGAGACTGTAACTCAAAAAAAAAAAGAAAAGAAATGGAGAGGAGGCCCCTCTTTTCACTGACCCATCGTAGGGAGATCAGGGGTGTCTCATGAGGGCCATATAAGGTAGGGAATGGAGGTGGGGAGAACCAGGTAATATTTCATATCACTAGCAAGAACATTGTAACTATTCATTAAACATGGCCAATTTAGCCCTATAGCACCATGAGTTAAAGGAGAGTTGATGAGAAAGGGGACAAAGGTTTTGAGAAGAAAAGGCCAGGAGAATGCTGCACGCAGATGGTCCTTCGAGGGAACAGCCCCATCTGGTGACTGGTTGGCAGATTCTTGCATAAGAAACAAAGCCATGTTGTGATTTTCTTCAACCACTCTCAAAGATAGATACAGCTGGGGCCTGAACCCAGTCAGTATCAAACTGATATTAAAATATTATATTACAGATTCCCAGAGAGATTGGCAGTGGCTGTGTGTGTGTGTGAGAGAGAGAGAGAGAGAGAGAGAGAGAGAGAGAGAGAGAGAGAGAGAGAGACAGAGGGAGAGGAACCCTGCAAATCCAGGAGAAAAACAGTATCTTTCACAACCACGGGAATTATAATAAATTCCTGGGAGAAATGTCCATCTCCTGCCAATAGCACCAGATTTATTATAACCTTTTATCAGAGATTAAATATGTAAACAGGTCCTGGGCAAGCCCTTGGCAAGTCATTAACGAGAGGAAGTTTTTCTCCAAGACACACCCTGGCCTTTCGTCCACTCCCCACCCCCACCCCAGCCCTGTAGCACGACACCCACCTGGCTGAGCTCCCCGCCACCGGGGAACCTTCCACACTTTCACGACAGTAATAATAACTTATATGTGCACAGATCTTTACAGTTTACCAAGCCACCCATTCATTTAACAAGCTCCTTGAATCAATCAGTCAGGATAGGCTTGGCTGTGCTGTGGTAACAAACCTCTCCAATCTTAGTCACATGACACAACAAAAGATTGTATCTTGCTCACATAAAGTCCACGGTGGGTCTGGGTGACTCCCCAGGGCCGTGGCTTCCGTAGGGTAGCAGTAATCCAGGCTGTTTGGATCCGGAGGTAGCTACATTTGATTACACGCTGCCACGATCAATGGAACTGGACTTGGAAGGTCCTGCACTGTGCACGCCATGCTGTTTTGGCCCCAAAGTCACGTGCTCACTCTGCTCCCAGTCCATTGGCCAGAAGTGGTCACATGGCCCTGCCTAACTGCGCGGGGCAGGGAAGGGTGATCCTGGGCGCTCAGAAGAGAGAAAAAGCAGGTGTGAATGAGCACTGGACTCCTTCCCCGTGGGGAGCCACCCTGGGCGGACAGAGTGGCTCACCTGGACTAGCCTTGTCAGACTGCTGGGGGAGAGGGGCACAGTCAGGAGAAACTTCCCCAAGGGCGGAGGCTGCACCCCGCCTCCCTTCTCACCCACCTTGTCTCCCCGCATCTGGGTGCCGAGCGCCGGGCGTGGAGCTGGCGCCGCACAGGCCCCGTCCCGGCAGCGCGGGGCAGCTTGTCTAAAAGGGCGTCTCTCCGGGCCTCCAGTGAGTGACTAGGCCCCTTCTCTTTGCTCTGCGTGTCGATCAAGGTGCCACACACCAGGCATCCCCTCTTAAATCCATAAAATCCCCAAATCCATAAAAGTGACCTCAGAGATCCCAGGCAGGGACAAACATCTGTTCAAACCTTCGCTCCTGTCACACCTCGCGACCACCAGCTTACAGAAGGGGAATGGGGGGAGGGTCCGGATGGGCCAGAGCTCTCTCCCTTGGGTCCACCTGACAGAGGCAGGTGTCGCGCCATTCTTATTCAACCCGCGCCGACTCTCCAGACGCGCGGGGATTCCAGACTGAGTTTCCACAGCTCGGGTGTGTTGAACGCCCGCAACGCACCAGACATCCGCGGTGCTCTGCGTACATCTACCCTTTGCGTCTTGACGGCAGCGCTGTGAGATGCAATAGTCGTGCCGTTTCACAGACTAGGAAACTGGGGCGCAGCGGCTCCGCTCCCCCGATTCCACCGCGTGGGCGCGCGCGGGGACCGTGGGCGCTGGGGTCTGCAGACTGCGGCGCCTCCGCCCCGCCCGGCGAGCGGGGGGTGGGCGGGGCCTGCGAGCCGGCAGGGCGGGGCCTCGCCCGCGCCTGGAGTCACCTCCGCCACCAGGGGGCGCCGCCCCTTCCGCCGCGGCCCTGAGGCGCGACCCCACCGCGACGCGACTCGCTCATGTCATCTGCCCGGCCGTTGCGGGTCTTTAAAGTTTACACGCACAGAGAAACACTCACAGACACACACACGCGCGCTCTAAAGAATCAAGCTAAGCCACCAGAAATCCAGGTGGATGTTGAGAAGGACCCGTCAAGGACTGGGGCACCCGAGGAGGAGGCAAGGGCTGTGTTTGAGAAACAATGACCAGGGAAGACTGGCAGTGCTTGATGAGTGATGGGTGGAAGATTGAGGAACAGGTGGCGGTCGCCAGGTCACCCAGGTGACGGTTTGTGGCCTGCTAGGCGATGATGCGCAACACTGAGCTCCCGGTCTTTCTCCCCAGCCCCCTTCACTCACTGACTGACCTATCTCAGTTAATGACACTCCGGCTTTAGTTGATTAGACCAAAAACTTGGGAGACAAGATAAAATAAGTTTTAAAAGCTTATTTAAAAAAAACAAAAATGTACTTTACTAGCTTATAATTTACATACAATGAGAAGCATTAATTTTAAGCCTACTTACCTTTAAACGAGTTTTGACAAATGCATACAACCATGCAAACACCATTTTAATCAACTTATAGAACATTTCCATGATGTCCAGAAAGTTATCTTGACACTCCTTTACAGACAATACTGTCTCCACATCCCCACCCCGTCCTCCCTCCTCGTATAAACAAGCAATAAGACATGCTTTATTTCGCTACAGATTAACTTGTTCTAGAATTTCGTATAAATATTTTATATTGTAAAATATAATACATTTTCTTATGTATCTGTCTTCTTTGGCTCAGCATAATGTATTTTGAGATTCATTCGTGTGGTTGTGTGTATAAGTAGTTTGTTCCTTTTAATTGCTGCTTGGTATTCCATTGGATAAATATATCATTTATCTATTCACCCTGGCATTTAGGTTGTTTACAATGTTACATTATGAATAAAACTTCTGTGAACATTTGTGCAAAATTCTTTTTGTGGGCCCACATTTTCATTTCTCTTGAGGAGTAAAAATTGCTGAATCATAGGGTATGTGCATGTTTAACTTTGTAAGAAATTGCCTGTTTCCAAACCCATGTCATTTCACATTTTTCACCAGAAAGGTAGGAAAAGTCAGTTGCTCCACATCCTTTTGAAAACTTGGTATCATTAGTTTTTTTTTTTTTTTAACCAACTGTATTGACGTTTAATTTATATGCAATGATATTCATACATTTTTACTATAAGGTCAGTTTGTTCTGATAAATGTATACATCCATATGATTATTGTAGCCCAATTGAGACATAGGACATTTCCACTTCCCTAGTAAGTTCCCTCCCATCCCTTTATAGTCCAGCTCTCCTCCTTACCATACACTTTGCCCCCAGGCAACAGCTGATCTGTTGCCTATCACTATAGATTAGTTTTGCCTGCTCTAGAAATCAATAAAATTGGAATCTTAATTATGTCCTCTCACCATAATGCTTTTGAGTTTCATCTATGCTGTTGCATGAATCAATAATTTATTCCTTTTTCCCTCTATGCAAAATGGATTTTATTTTAACTTTATAAAATATTTTAAAATCTTTACATTATGCACATCTTTAATACTCATGAAATAGTTATTTCAAATGGCTTAAGGCCATCAATTTATGTCTCAAATGATTTTACTATTATTTAAATATCTAACAAAATATGCAGTTTTTAAAGTCTCATTATTTGTAGAATGAACCTAGCCTAAACTTGTTCTTAAAGACCACCTATTGAATATTCCTGTTTTCCAGAATATCCACAGATGTTTTTTAAGTAGGATCAGCTTATGACAATCAGATCATTTAGGTTTCTAAGAAGGCATAAATTTAGAGTCCGCTTTTCCAGTTTTCACATGGAAATGATTATGTGACTATCTGAAAAAGTGGAGATACTGTGTTAACTATCCTAAGTGTGGTTAATTTTCCACAGGATACTTTTAATTGAAATTTTTATTGCAAAAGCTGTAGAGTCACATACAGTTGTAAGAAATAATACAGACAGATCCCTTGTACACTTTGCCTAGTTTCACCCAATGGTAATATTTTACAAAACTACAGTGTAATATCAACATTGATTCAATTCGTCTATTTTATTCAGATTTCGCCAGCTTTATTTGTACTCATTTGTGTGTGTGAGTGTTTGTAACTCTATACAATTTTATCACCTGTGTAGGTACATGGACTCACTGCCACAGTGGAGATATTGAGCAGTTCCATCACCATAAGACTCCCTCCTGTTGCCCTTTATAAACACACTCACCTCCCTTTCTCTGCCCTCTCCCAACCCGTGCCTTGCCCCTGGCAACCACATTAATCTATCCTTCATTTCTAAACCTCTGCTATTTCAACAATGGTATAAATATAATATATATATATATATATATATATATATATATATATATATATAAAATCATACAGCATGTCACTTGTTTCACTCAACATAATTCCCTGGAGATTCATCCAAGCCGTTGCATGTATCAATAGTTTGTTCTCTTTAATGACTGAGTAGTATTCCACGGTACTCATGTACCACAGCTTGTTTAACTATTCACCTATTGAAGGTCATCTA